GAACTGAAACTGAAGTTTCCAGTTATGACCCATTTGTTCCAAGATCCTGGGAAGTTAAGTCCCTGAACCCTTCTGACTCAGAACTTTGGTTGCCCTTGCGAGGCCCGTTCGCATCACAAGAAAAGTTACAGAATGATCTGTTAAAAGACGTTTTGCCATTGACTAAAGAAATAAACACCAGTATGAAAATGACTCCTGGTTTATTTGAACAAAAGTTGGAGGCTAATAACGAACCCTGAAGGAAGGAAGGAAGGCTTACCAATAATGGATACTTGTGACAAAATATAAAAACAATTTATGCAGCAGGTCATCTAGTTATCTTTGGGCCATTTTGCACCTGGCACCTTGTTGTCTGTGCCAGGTGTGTATTGCTAGTTTTCGTATCAAAACACACATGAATGCGGAATTCTATGTAGTCTCAAAAATCAGGAGGGCCAGATACTCTATCCATGGATGAAAATATATCCTTTTATCATTACTTCAAAACTGTCAGAACTCAGCCCTGGCAGTAGATAAATGCTGGGACTAATTAAATTCAAATTAAACCCACATTAAGTCCTGTGTTTTCTTTGCTGTTCTTCGGAATTAAAGGTGCTGTATGTCCTCCTATTGGACTATGCTCATTTCCAAAGGCATACTAGCTATTGTTTTAGAATTCTTCATTATTTTATGAAATAATCAATTTGAGGCCTGTGGAAAATTTCAAATAGGATTTGAGGTATTCTGTGGGGACTGTCCATAAAATGGAGGCGAAAAATGTACCAAGACATAGGGAAAAAATCTGGCGGATGTGTCAAATGATGAGCAAACAAACCAGCTTCAAATGATGTGTAAACAAACCAGATGAGAACATATTAATTCATCTCAATGCCTCTTTGAATTCATATGTCCTCATCTCCCATGAGTAAAACTAAAAGCCTAAGTATACACAACTGCATCTTTTCCCATAGACCTCCTCTTCCTTTCTGCATCTTTTCATCCCTAGCTCTGTCAAAAAATTGAAAGCAAGAGAGGACTACCTTGTGCTTATAGAGATCTGTAGTACACCATACATGCCAATGGGACTTGATTATAAGTTGAAAACAGAGATTTCAAATGACATTGACAGTACAATTGAGAGTATGGGTGCTGTCTGACTTGCTGCGTTGTTCTGAAGGGTAGCATTCTTAGCTGAGATAAATACAATTTGTTCTGCTTCTGCAAAAATGATGCTACTTCTACAAATTTTATAGAATTGAAAAGCCCAATACAATCATAGCATAAATCCGGCAGGATCCATTTGAGCAAATATCTTAGTTTCAGTATGACTTTCATAAGAGATGAGCATGCTTGCAATAGCCTCCTGGGATTCCTTACCATAATATTTCTTGTTTGCAGGCAGGATGCAGCAGAAACCAGCTTGTATTATGTAACCCACATTTATTCAGTGATCAAAAACCTGAGTTTTAAGACTAGAATTAAGGCTCTATTGACTCAAGCTCTACAAAGCTAAGGCAAAGATGTACTATAATCAGGAATAATGTTAGATCATCATCATCATCATTTTAGAACTGGAGGGGACCCTACGGATCATCAAGTCCAGCCCCTGTCAAAGAGGCACAGTAGAAATTGAACTCACAGCATCTGGCTCCACAGCCAGAGCCCTGATCTCACCATTTATGCTTGCTTACAATGTACACCTCTAAGCAACTCCTGATACCAATTCCATTTTACTCTGTTCATTTTCAACACCTATTTGTTACAACGAAACCGTGCTTTGCAATAAAGGCACAGTTTAGAATGCAAACCATGGAGCAAGCTTGGGTGGGCAAAAGTGCGCTCCCAAAGATGCTGATGGACTGCATCTCCTACAACAGTGGTAATTTCAAAAGTGATAGGGAGGCACAAAAAGAAAGGGTCTGTCATTTTGTCCACATACTGCCCTCTTTCTGTTTTAGAGTATCTTTACCACACAATATTCTCTTTTCTAGGGGGGCTCTGGAAGGTAGTTTGTCTTTTCAGACATTACATGAAACTATGATTTCCAAATCTGGTTTGCTAGCTAATCATAATGCATGGTATCTGAAGTACGTAATTGGCATAAATCAAGCACTCTGTTGATTGAACCTTCCCTTGCAGAACTCATCCTTCCTATTATTACTGCTCCTGCTACTTCTTTCTTGATCAAGTGTTTTTCTATAATACATTCTTTTCTTGAACAAAATTTATCACAACACAGCTAATGAAAACAAACTCATGATAGCATGTACATGTGTTTCAACATTTCAAAATCTCAATGGCCAGTATCCTATTTCAAGTCTCAGATTGAGAATAGCTCTAGGATACTAGCCAATGTGTTGGGTTTACACATTAGTACTAATTTGTTGGAAATAAATATTGTTCAAATTTAAAGCATTTGTAATAAAGATTAAATATGTATGGATCAATGCTTGGCTTTTTAAATCCTTTTTTCCTTGCCTCCAGATCATTGAAAAATCTGTAACACATTGTGCTTTAATCTGACTATTAGGAAAAATCCCCCACATCTTATGTATTAGAGTGGAGCTGGAGTGACTGATTTAAACCACAGCAATCAAGTGAGTGGTTTAAAACAAGATTTAAAATCAGCAAGAAAAAGGTCAGGCTGAATTACTGATTAAAACACATTTCTAATTGACACTCCCTTGTACATTTCTTCATCAGTGGTGCATATGCAGTCAATAAACCATGTTAATATACAGCTGAACAAAGTGCTGTGTGAACTGTTCTATGCTCACAAAACATCTATCATATTGCAAGATTTAAAACAAATATAAGGGAACATCTAACATATTACCATTTAGAATATTGCTAATAACCAGTAGCTATAACAATGTGTGAGAATAAGCATGGGAATAAAGTAACCTACTTGCTGAATAACCTTTTTCTGGTGATACTTTTCTTTTTTCCTCCATTTGGCATAACTCTCACACCCCAAAAACACAAACCAGTAAACACAAATGAAGTACCATAGGTACTGATTCATAGGTCTGATAGTTAGTGAGCAGGTTAGAGCAATCCTATTAGGTAAACATTAAGTGCATATGTCTGGTAAATAAATACAGTATTGATATTTGAGTGTGAAGAAACTGAGAAAATGGGAAGCATGGAACATAGAATTCACTTAATGGAAGCTTCGGTGCTTCTTTGCAAGTGCTGGAAAAGTTGACTTAGAAGGCAGAGGTCAGCATGTGCCCAAAACAAAAAGGCAATTCACACGTTCAGTTGACCTCCTGTTAATGAATGTTTAAAGAAGGAATGAAAGGGAGCTTAAAACTTCCCTATTTATCTCTATCAAGAGTGCATATCATAGCAGCACCAAATAAGTTCTAAAGCTTCCCCTTTAACTCTTGACTTCAAATGTCAGTGCACTTCCTTCCCTGGAGCCATGCAAATTCTGCTTATGGGAAAGGAAGAAATTGCTTTTGTCTTAGAGGGGGCTGCTGGTCAGCCCCCTTCTCATCAAAGACATCAGTAATGTCCTTGTATTCCAAGCGTATCATGGGACTATCTGTTGACCCTGCTGCAGCTAAGGTAGCCGGTGGACCCAGATGCGGTCACAGGTCCCGGAAACACAACTCCCCTTGTGCTCAGTCCATTAGGGGGCTATGTGTTCGGAGCCAGAATGAGCGGGAAATGAGGCATGCATGCAATGTTGAACTGTAGTTGCTCCTGATGGTGTTGGACCTGGAGAATGATCAGATGGGTTTCCTGGGTCACTGGGCTGCAGCGGAGGAGACGCCCATCTATGGACTCAACTAGGGTCTGGATCTCTTTATCCTGTATGGGGATCTGGTGCTATTTCATGAAGGCCATGTCAAGGAAACAGCGGTCGGCTCCAGAATCGACCATGGCGTAAATAAACAGCCAGTGTCCATAGGCAAGCAAAGTTTCACTAGTACAAAGAATGGACCCGGGATGTTAACATAGGGTTCAGGGGACCCAGCTAAGTGCCCCACGTCTGGAGGTCCACTCAGACATGGGGCAAATCTTTTACTGACCGTGGTAGGTAGAGTGGAGCCGGTGTTACGCTGCTTAACCAAGCAGCTGGAAGCGAAGTGTCCTGCTCCCCCACAGTACAGGCAGAGATTCTGGGAGCGGCATTGTGTTTTTTCCTCAGGGGTAACGCATGGCCGAGCAGCCCCTAACTGCATAGACTCAGAATCCTCTTGTCTAGTGTTGGTGGGCATCAGGCGTGGCTGCGAGGAACGGGACCCGCCCTGTGCTAGGCATCGGCTCTCCAGGCGGCCATCAATGCAAAGGCATAGAGTGATTAATTCTTGCAGCGTATTGGGTCGATCTACACGTGTCAGCTCATCTAGGATCCCATCAGCCAACTCTTCCATATATTGGTCCATGAGAGCTGCCTTGTTCCAGAGCAATTCTTGAGCTCCCGGGACCAGGTCGTCCATTCATGCATCTTGTTGTGGTGCTGGTCCCGCTTTTTCTTCTAATAGCACCCCGAGTTCCACTCTCTTCTTGCTCAGCTGGCTACTCTAGGCAGGGGGTGGGAGGACAAGTCTTCCTGCATGGCTGTTGAGTGGCCAGCCAAGCCGGAAAAGAGCAGAGCTCCGGACACCATTGGACGGACGAGTGGGACTGGCACCGCAGCAAGACACGTGAGTGGGTGGTACGGTCCCAGGAGCAGACCCTCATTAGGTTCAGCTGTGCCAGGGATATTCGTATTCAAATATGAATATCCCCATCTCTACTTGGCATCCTTTTTCCTGCTCACACCACTGACATGATATTGTACAGCAATATCAGGCCATTTCCTGGCATTCTGAATTGTGGATCCCAAAGCACAATATCCCACATCCATAAACCAGAAAGAGTTTTTTAAGAATGAATTTAAAAACAAAACGCCTCTGGAATAAATATAAAGTTCACAATTAGTTTGCAAGAAACATTTCATCAACAATGGTTAAACCATGTGGCTTCAAGCAGAATATCCTGTTGAGCAGACATCAGCCATCTTAGCTGCTATCCTTAATTTTAGCAGCACTGAAATGTTTTTATACAGTAGGTCTGTCCACTGAAAAAATATCCGCAGAAACAGCTTCAAAATGTGGGGAAATCACCCAAATACACAAGGATGTTGTTCTTTTACTTTTGGAAGACTAAATGTATGCAGTGACAAATGTATCCCAGAGACAAAAAATAATTTATTTTACATTATACCTTCCAAAATTAAGCCTTGTTCCCAACACAAAGTTGACAGAAGAAATTCTGTAAAATATGAATTATGAGACACAAAAAATATCAAATAACTGAAAAAAAATCTCACAGTATCTCTCAAGAAAGTAAATTCAATAGTTTGTGCCAAACCAACTATTAACTTTGCGAGTGCTTAAATAAAGGACCAGATTAACGACATAGTATTCATTTGTTTCTTCCATCCACACCAGCTCCATGTGTACTTTTCCAGTAGAATCTACATATTTCACAACATAACTTGGTCCTAAATACTGGTATAAGACAGATGGTTTGGCAGAAAGTATCATGTAGACTGGAGCACTAACACACCAAAATGGTTTTTGTGAATAATCCAGAACGGTGACATCCATGATGAAACAGTTCTATAGAATACAAAAAAAAAGAGGAAAAGAAAAAAATGCAATGAGAAAAAGCAGTATCTCTACTATATTCCACAGGCACTTACAATGATTAATATTTTAAGGGAATGCCTCCAAAATTCTCTCTACAACTTTAAAGTTGCCTTCATTGTCAAAGAATGACAAATAATACCAGGTGTATGTATGTATGTATGTATGTATGTATGTATGTATGTATGTATGTATGTATGTATGTATGTATGTATGTATGTATGTATGTATGTATGTATGTATCTATGTATCTATGGATGTATGTATGTATGTATGTATGTATGTATAGATGGATGTATAGATGGATGCATGCATGCATGTGTATACACATACACAGATTCCACCAAAATAAGACCTCTCTCTCTCTCTCTCTCTGTCTCTCTCACACACACACACACACACACACACAAACACACACACACACACACAAACACACACACACACACCCCTAACCTGAAATAAGACCTAGTATGATTTTTCCAGATGCTTGTAATATAAGCCCTACCCCAAAAATAAACACTAGTTAAGTGAAACCCCGCCCTCCACCATTGTGCAGCAACCAGAAGATGACATGACTGTATTTGAATAAATGTAGATTGTTGTCCATGAAAAAAATAAAACATCCCCTGAAAATAAGCCCTACTGCATTTTTTGAGCAAAAATTAATATAAAACCCTGTCTTATTTTTGGGGAAACACACGCCCATGTGTGTATGTTTTTACAGCATCAAATCAAGCAAAAACCATCAACAGGCCAAATTCCCCATTTAGCAGATCTTCAGAGGACACACAAAGTATTTGTTTTCTTTTTTTTTCTTTTTTGCAAAAACTAGACAAAATCCTACCATAGTTGCTGAATGCTGTGATAGGCATTGGTATTGGCTAATTTTGATAATTTTCAGTGGCAAATGCAGACTACACATTCCAATATGCTTTAAACAGTATACTAGACTTGATGGCTCCATTCTCCCCATATTAATAAAGATTTTCTCAGTGGTTACTCCCAGGCCCAGGAAGTTTATCCCCAAGATACCTTATCCTTCAAACAACAGGCAAAAACTTTAAAATTTAGGCTGACTTCTAGCAAACTACCCACTTGATAGAGGAGAGGCTTTCTACCAGGCAGGGTGTTGTGTACCAATGCATTTTAAATTGGCCAAAGTCCTCTTGCATAACTTTTGGAAGCAAACTGCTCCAAGAGAAGAAATCACCATAGACATTATCAGATACGTGCCAAGTCAGACAATGACAGTTTAACTAGGTTAGAGGACGTGAGACATTGTGTTTTTAATGTAATCATATGTTAACATTTGCACTTGTTTGGTGTTTTAGTTGTATCTTTTATATAACCTTACTGTGAGCCACCTTGAGTCACATTTTGGAGAGAAAGGCAAGCTATAAAACCAATGAATAAAAAGGTGTAATAACACCAATCACCCTTTAAAGAGATAAATTCAGAAAACTCTTCTACTCCCCCAAGAAAGGTTATCCATTTTACCAAAACTTAAGCATTCATTCATTCATTTAGTGTCATTTGTAGACTGCCTTTCTCTCAATGAGGAGACTCATAATAGGTAATATATAAGGAGATAATATGTGTTCAACAGCTGTATGTATATACACTCACATTGTTCTCATATGCAGAAACTGTATTTGAACCTAAGAAATGTCAGTCCATAAATATTTTTAAAATGGAAAGGCAATCAAGATTGCATTAAATTATAAAAGAAATAAAGGTTACCTTAACATTCCCTTCAAATGCATCAACTCTCCAAGACAACCCAACGTTTCCAACAAGAGGTAGGTGTTGGGCATTATTTTTGTAACTTATCACTGAAAGTCTCAGGTATCCATTTCTAATGTAATCTGTAACAAATGAGATATAAAAGACACAGAACCTCAGAGACAATAAAGTCTATAGCATTTTGAATATTTCATTCTCTTATGAGTAATTATCCACTGACCAGTATTTTCAAAGAAACATGAAATGAAGAGCAATTCTCAAAGAGAATAAAGAAGAGAAATTCAAGTTGTGTATGATTCTGTAACAGTTAAGATGATGGTAATGAGCAAGCATGAAATATTACTAAGGCTTCACGGATGCACAAGTGGAGCCTGCAAAAAATTGCTGGAATGCACAATATTCCAATTTATTGTTTCAGCTAGCCAGTTCCTTTTTTTCTTGTTGTCACAGGCTATAAAGTAATCTCCAACTTTTGGAGACCCTATGAATGAAAGCTTTCCAAAATGTCCTATTCTCAACATCCATGCTCAGCTCTTGTAAACTCAAGCCTATGGTTCCTTTAGGGAGTAAATCCCTCAAATCCCTCTCATATTTACTCTCCTGCTGCCTTCAACCTCTCCCAGCATTATTGTCTTTTCCAGAGAATCTTGCCATTTCATGATGTGCCCAAAGTATGAAAGCTTTAATTTTGTCATTTTATATACCAGGTAATATATAAATATTCCTTTTAAATATATCAATAAAATAAAAATTTCCCTCCAGAGATAATTCAGGCTTAATTTGTTTTAGGATTGTTTGTCTATTTCTGGCAGTCAGGGCATCCACAAAGCTCTTCTACAGCACCATATTTGAAACAAACCAAATTTTCATCTGTCAGCTTTCTTTACTATCCAGTTTTCACACTCACACATGGTGATTAGAAATACAAAAATGTGGATAGCCTTCATCTTGGTCTCCAGTGATATATTCTTATACTTGATTATCTTTTCTAGTTTCTTCACAGCTGCCCTTTCCAGTCTCAGTCTTCTGATTTCTTGGCTGCAGTTTCCATTTGAACCAAGATATTAAAAAATCCTTAAGAATTTCAGTTTCTTCATTGTCAACATTACAGTTTGGTAGTTCTTATGTAGTCATGAATGTTTAACAGCACTCTTGCTTTGGCACTTTCACTAAAAATCATTTCAAGTCATTGTTGCCAGTAAGATGGTGTCATCTGCATATCTTAAATTATTAATACTTATTCCACCAATTTTCACTCCTTCATCTGAATCTAGTCTGGCTTTCTTTTTTGATATATTCTGAGTACAGACTAAAAATATAAGGCGATAAAATGCACCCTTTTCTGTCACCTTCACCTATAGGAAACCATTCTGTCGCTACATATTCTGCCCTAACAATAGCTTCTTGTCCACAATACAAGTTAGACAGCATGACAATCAAATGCTGAGGTACAACTATTTCTTTCACAACAACCCATAGTTTCTCATGATCCACACTGTCAAAGGCTTTGATGTAGTCTACAAAGCACAGACTGATCTTCTTTTGAAATTCTTTAGTGCATTCCAGTAGCCAACAGATACTTGCAATATGATCTTGTGTGCCTCTTTTTTCATAATGCTTGAACATCGGGCCTTTCTTGCTCCATAAAAGTTAAAAGCTTTTGTTGCAACACCTTGAGCATCACTTTGCTTGTGTATGCTACATCTTGCCACTCCATCTCTTCTAGGTCATTGTATGACTGAAAATACCCTGTTCCGACCCATTTTACTTCACTAACCTCAAGTACTGCAATGTTTATATATTCCATTTTTGTTTTACGTTTTCCAGTTTACCTTCATTCATGCTTCTTGTGTTCCACGTTTCAATTGTATGTGTTGCGCAGCATCACATTTCCCTTTCACTTTTCTCCATGTCAGATACTAGACATGCTTTCAGCTTTAATCTATTTGTGTCATTCAGCAACAGAGTTACTTGTGCTTCTCCTATGCTTTTCCCCAGTAGCCGACTGGGTGCTTTCCAACCTGAGAGTCTCATTTTCCAGCACTATCACTTGCTTCGCTTTGGACTATCTTGTCAGAGGGTTTTCATGGTTTATCATTGCTACCTTCTACACAGTACTAACAAAAGTTAGCTTGAGTGTCACTGCCATTGCCTCCTCTGCCAGTGTCACCTTAAGCTACTGTTGCTGCCCAACAGTTGCCTCAATGAGGCTGCATCCCTCTTAATTTGGTGTCACAACTAAGGTGATCCTGGGTGATCTTGCTGGAAATCCAGGCTTGTAATGACATCTGGCTTCTTGACAGTATTGCTTTCAGTTTCACTGACCACACAACCCCCTTCACCAGGTTAAGGGATTCATTCACAAATCCTTTTTTCTAGGATACTCTGTTTTATTCCCTTCTCCCAGCTGCTCCTCGCTCTTAGGGTTTTATTTTTAAAAACTCACTTCTACAAACCCAGATATTTATTCAAGCCTCCTGATGTCTCTTCTCTTTTGTGTACACAGTACCATTCTGGCCACCATAAGGATCCAAAATTAATACTGAGCTTGCTACTAGCAACTAGTGATGCTTCTGTAAAAATCTAAATCAGAAGTTACTTCTGTAAAAATCTAAATCAGAAGTTACTTAACTCTGTCTCTTGCCTATTCCCATTTCATTGAGTTTAGTCCTGATTTCCATTGTGCTTGAAGACTCTGAACAATAATAATAAAATCAGAGCAATAATTTGCTTGAGCAGCAGATGATACACATTGAGAATTCAATCTCTAAAATGTTATGTTGTTAGGCAATGAGGTATCCATTCATCTTCTCTCTAATGAAGAATGCACAGAAGCTACAATTTGGCACTTTTCTGATGTTTCAAGTATCATCCTATTTGCTTCCAGGTCAGTTGATAAGTCTATGATACCTTGATTTGCTATTAGCTTGCAAAAATACCACCCTTCTCCATAAAAGGCTCCCACATTAGGTAGCAACCGGAACCACTCGAGGCGAACTACTCAATAAATGCAAGGGGCTAGAATCTTAGTTCCCAAGTTACTTTCTTACACCCTGGAACAGAGAACTCCACACAACAGTGTTTCTCTGCACTGAAATATAGTCTACTTGTAAAAATGCCATATTTTATTTCCTACACTTTTCTTCAATATTAAGATTCATATCACTTATGTTTATACACTTAGAAATGAAATATTAAGGACAGGCCTAGAAGAACCACTTTAAATATGTAATCTAAGTACTACCTTTTGTACAAAACAAACTACGAAATGTGCTACACATGTATGTATTTCCACTGCTGTACAGATCAATGTGTAGCTGATAGCCATGCATGCCATATTCTGGGTCAACATCATCCAAGATGGCTTTATCTTGGGCTTCAGGATGCTTCCTGAAATAAAATGGATAGTGAGGAACATACTGTGGTGTACAAAGTCAGCTAAGTAACTAACATGTTTAATAGCGGGGGGCTGGCAGGATCTGCATATGTTTTGGCAGCTTGCTACAATGCCCACACTTTTCAGTTCAGGTTTTTTTAAATCTAGTCTTTAGAAATCACCAAATTTCAACCATCAGTTTATATATCTAGATGCATACCCACACACACACATACACATATGCATATACAATTAGTCTGGATGTTTCCAGCCTTTTAAAAAAAGGATATCTCCCAATTATATCTGTAAAATGTTATGCTTTGAAAAAGCTATCAGCTAACCATATCAAGAAAGGAAGCAGGGTAGATGTGTTTTAAATCAAATTGATTAAACTCATGATTTATATAATGATTTAAATCACTACTCAGGAACACCTGATTTAATCAGATAATCCCCCCTCTACCCGAAGTTGACATATATGCATATTTTACACAGCTCAAAGACATAGGTTTAATTTTAGCAGGTCCATTCTGTCCATTTCATTTTGAAACATTTTGAGACCATATTTATTTTTAACCAAAATTGTGAATAGTCAATAAATAGATTTGTCATTCAGGGGCATTGTTGGTTTCTCAGCAAATTTGGCTCTCCAAAACAAAAGAGTGTACAGTATTTTGAACTACACAGTACTAGAGAAAAGAAACATGTACATATGCAACACAACAGTTCAGTACATACATGTACAAACATGTACATATGCAACACAACAGTTCAAACTTTAAACAATGTTAAGACCTATAACTGCAAACCAATCTATACCTTGAAAACATTAAAAAGCAGGCATTTTTTGATCTCACTGAATACAGTGAGCAATTCAATCCTTATCTAAGCGGGGGGGAATGTGTTGAGCGACTCTCAGGCGTTTTCTGACCATGTGTGAATTCCAATATAGCAGAAGTGTTAGGGTCTGACACTTTCTATTTGCTAAATCCACTGAGATTTCTCATGCCCGCCTAAATGGGATCAACCTACTAATAGCCAAAATATGCTGTTCCTGCTTTTGGTATCATGGCTCACTGAAACGTCTCAATACATTACCTTGGCTGGGTCATAAAAGCATCCCAATCAGAAAATGGACTAGGTTTATTAGGACAATTGTGTCCCAGCTGTTTTGCGCTCATAGAAAGAAAGAAACAACATGGCAAATAGTTGAAATACGAATTTTTTTTTTTACTAGTTTTCAAGTGAGAGACTATTGTTAAACTGTTTACCTTGTAGGTGTAGTTCTATGTGAGGAATCAGAATTACTCCACAAAACTACTGAAAGCAACCCTGGAAATTTTAATACGGTCCCTGCATAATACTATGACCAGGAAGTATGACCAGGAAGTGTTCAGTCAAACCACCTTCACTATGTAACTGTGCATGAATGGTTTTGCTTTTTTCCTCCCTTATTTAAGGAGTTATTTAGTACTTCCCTGTACAAGGAGAAGTTGGGCTGCTACAGCAATGATTCTGGTCTTTGTGATGGCAAACCTGGGAATCCAGCATTACCATGCTGGCAGAGAATTGTGCTCTAGCAGCACTTGATAAGATCCCGGTTTTTGGTTCTACTTTCACAAGCCATTCCACAAGTCACTGAATCATTAATTATACTTTCATTGGCTTTTATACTGCAGAAGAATTAGCACACATAGGGCACACTAACAGGTCTATGTGAACGGAACCTTGGCCAATCCACTTGTTAACAGGGCAGCAATATGACCGGCTGTAGGTAGAGGAGGGGACTAGAGGGCTGGAGTAAGGAAAGAGAGAGCGGCCTGGAAGTTTTGAGGGAAAAAATAAAATAAAATATATAGGTTATGATGAAAAAGAAGACTATAGAATTGAGCAAATGTTAAAGCTAGGGGAAATGATATGGAACCTGCAGTTATGAATTACTTTAATTGGTTGTTGTAGCTGAAGAAAACGGGAGCTCAAATTTGTTCCCAGTTTAATGTTCCTATGTAATTAAAAGTTATTACTTTCGCTCTTTAGTCACCGGGTCTGGCAGCAGTAGGAAGAACATTAGTTATACCTGCTCCACAGTTACCACAGATTACAGGCCCACACAGAGCCCATCTGACATGATGGAGCAGATTTGGATTCAGCAAATCCAAAATTGGCTCCTCTATGCCCATAGACTGTTCCATTTTGTGGGCTTCCCCTTACAGCTACCAGTAACCACCTGCCTGGGTATAAGAGAAGCACTTTTTCATAACAAAGCAACCTGTCCCACAGCATGAATCTTTTCCATGAGAAGAGGGTGAGCAAAGAGACACCAAAACACAATCTTAATCCCCACATACACCAATATTATGGGTGAGACTGCACCCTGGAGTTATCATAAAAATCTATCTCTGCAGTGCTTTGCAAACCAGCTACTAGAAATGCTGTCCAACATAATTCACATTCATATTTTGAAAGATCCAAAATTCTACGCTCTTCTGAAATTCAGTTATTAAAAGTCTGAACTACTCCACTCCCCTTAGCTTTCATACATCAGCACTTACACTGTAGCAGTGCCAAGGGTGCTTCTTTCAATAAGTTGATGGTGATGAAGACTTGCCATAATGAAAGCAATTCCATTTTTCTGAAAAAGTTAATTATACAGAATATATTTTGCAGTCCAATGTACTTAATTTTCCCTTAATTTTTTTATAAGCAAAGCCCATTTAAGCCCACATAAAGGCTCTTTCTTCCTGTTCCAAAATTATAACAAATTACTATTCACTTGCATTTTGATAGATTTTCAGGGGACTGCTCCCATGAAACTTTGAAATCAAGTCGCAGAACCAAGAAAGCCTCAAATGATCATCCAGGAGACAGCAAGTCTGTGCATGGGGAGGGAGGAATGTTGACTCCCAACATCGGCATGGGCACAAAGGAGCTAAACTTTCTCACGTCTGTATCTTTTCTTGTCTCACAATTGTATCTTGTTGTTGTTCTTTTAAGTTATAAATGGGAAATATGCAGCTAAAGAACTACGGAAGTTTATTTTATTATTTTACTTTAACATTTCCCTCCAAAACCTTGGTTCTTCTGTTAAAGAAATACGTTTAGGGGCAGGATATCAGAAGCAAATGCCACTTGATTCCTTTACTCAAGATGGCAATATGACTTAAATAACTTTAAAATGCAAAACTCCACTTGCTTAGAATGTGCTTTTTTATAAGGGGAAGAAAATAAGTTTTCTTCCTTCTTATAAAAAATGTGCAATAAGTTCAGTATAGCTGAGAAGAATGAAAAGAAGTGAGATGTTTATTGCATACTTCATAATTGAAGTCATATACATGGCCATTCATTTATTTTTATGTATTTATTTACTTACTTATTTCATTTATATTTCTCCCCGTTAATGCAAGCACTACTCTGGACAGTTTACAGGTTAAAACTTAAAGCCCAGAAGATCCCATTAAATCCAAGGATAAAATTACAGAGAGGCAGATCTGTATATTATTTGAAGGTTTTTTAAAAAGCAGACTACCATTTATGTCTAATTCTTGTACACAATTCTTCCAAGCAAATGTTAGTGTTATCCCACAGCTGTAAGACAGAAGGGTAAGCAGCTCAGCTGAGCACCATTCAGAAAACAGCTAATCTGCTGAGACTGATCACCTGGCTTGAAATCAGAATATCTGCCTTACATCCTTTCCTATTTGTAGAAGGAAATCACTCACTCACTCAGAAGGAGACCAATGAAATGGGAGGAAGTATTAGATTAACCACATTAGATTAACCAGCTAAGGTTAACTTGAGAAAGTCCTAAGTGTTTACATATATTTGCTATGCCAGCTTCTAAAATCATAGAGGTTTTGTCAAACACATATTAATCTCATCATCTCACTGTGCATCTGTATCTTTCAAACTGCGAGAACTACTGGTTAGGTTGGGTAAGACAGAGAAAATCATTCCCCCTGCAATTCCATTTTAGCTTGGAACATACTAAATCTCTATAATCCGACACAGTAAAGAAAACAGAAAAGAAATCTGAGCCAAAAATGAAAGTCAAATGAGCCACTATAAGAAAGATTAATCAAAACATTAACAACTAGTTAGTCTGAGGTACTGCATTAGAACCATTTATGTAACTATTTTAACTATGTTGAATCCCTTGATTTTTTCTTGCATAAAAATTAAAAGTTTGAATATAACATAACAACCACAAATTACCACAAGATTTTACTGAGCAAATTTACTTACTTTCCAAAGTCCCACCAGAAGTCCTTGATCAAAGCGGTAAAGCTGAACAAATGGATCACAACCAATCATGTTTGCCTTTTCACTCAGATTAGCCAGATCATATTCGGAAATTAAGGAACGCCTCCAAGGCCTTTCAGAGGACATTAAGTTAGTTAAACAAATAATAGATACAGTTGAAATGTTACAGTTACTTTCAATCTCTCAACAAACAATGAGTAGCAACATGGTAAACTAAAAGCAGAATAATTTAGTTGGTTTCATTTATAAACTGCCTTTCTCCCCATAAGAGGACTCAAGGTGGCTTAAAAACAAGTAAAACGTTATGTTTTCCTCAGAATCAATTATAAACACAACAGTATTTAAAAAAACACAATTTTTAAAAACTTATGAATTGATCAATGTACTCTTTATCCACTTCCCTTACCAGTGTTAAATAAAACAACAACAAAAGTCAATAGCTGTGTTTCTAATTTCCTGAAGTGCGGGCAATAAGTGTAGAGCCCTTTTCTACAAGCATATGTACAGTGGTGCCTCGACTTACGAATGTTCTGACTTACGCCATTTCAAGCTACGACCAGCTCCGGCCGCAAAATTTTGCTTTGACTTGTGGCCGGAGCTTTGAGTTACAACCAAAAAAGGCAGGGGGAAAAGGCGGGGAATTCAAATTGCTAACCATTGGCAGGCAAAGAGGCTGCTTCTTTGTAGCTCTTTCACCCCAGCAGTTACAGTGAGTGTGATAGGAGGAGGCTTCAGACTGCCTGGTGCTGCTTTCTGCTCCTGAGTAAGTATATTTACAGGGTTTTGCAGGGTGGGTTTGGGCTGGGGGGGTTATGTTTCTGTGCTGTGATGTTTTTTGTGTTTGTTTTTTAAGCCCCAGTGCCTTCTGATGGGGCTTGCTATGTAGTTTATTTTTGGTTATTATTTTTTGTTTGTCTTTTAAGCCCCAGCGCCTTCCGATGGAGCCTGCTCTCTCTCTGTGTGTGTGTGTGTGTGTGTGTGTTTAAGCCCCAATGCCTTCCGATGGGGCTTGCTGTGTGATTTATTTTTATTTTGTTGTTGTTGTTGTTGTTGTTTTAAGCCCCAGCACCTTCCAATGGGGCTTGCTGTGTGGTTTATTTTTAGCTTTGTTTTTTAAAAGCCCCATCGCCTTCCGATGGGGCTTGCTGTGTGGTTTTTTGTAATTTTTTTTTTTTTGCTGGAACGGATTAATCACATTCCAATGCATTCCTATGGGAAATGGTGATTCGACTTACGACCATTTCGAGTTACATCCATCTTCTGGAATGGATTATGGTCGTAAGTGGAGGCACCACTGCCTGAAGGAGGTGAGGCTATCAAATCCACATGCACACATACACCAGGGCTCTGGCTCACAAGGAGAGCCTCCACAAATACAGCATCCTCTTCTTTTTCAGACTGTCACTTTCATGTGTTAAAAGTGACAACAACAGATCAGCATAAATTTCTCATCACGTATGAACCACATACTCTTGCAGAATCTCTGAATAACGCAAAGAAGCCATAGGAACCAATCAGTTGCCATTGTCTCAGATCTAGATGCTACCTGACCCCACAAAAATAGTAGCTGCAGTCACTGTGCTGTGGACATCACAGGCAAATATATGCATGCATCTCTTTACCTGCTACCTTAAAATCACGGTAGATGATAATGCAGATACAACTTAGGACACACAGCTCAATATACTATTGCCCTTATTACTGTTTCATTGTCAAAGTCCAATTTATTAATTGCTACTGGTGAGTAACTAATCTGCAAACAACAATGCTGCAGTATACATTCTTGTATAATTTACGCAGAAGCTGAAATCCTGTTGCCTGTGTGGTTTAGTGGATAGAATTACGGACTAGAACTCTGGAGAACAGAAAATCCCTGCTTGGATGTGGAAACTGATTGGGGGAGTGGAACAAGTAAAATTACACCTTAAATATCTCACTTACCCTGAAAACCCTGTTAGAACCACTGTCAGTTCTGACTTGACAGCATGCAATAACAAACTCTAGTTGTGACTTATTACATTAAGCAACAGTATTTCAGTCAAAAACTGCTACAGTGGAACCAACTACCTCAATAGGTGGTGAGTGCTCCAACACTGGAGGCATTCAAGAGAAACTTAGACAACCACCTGGCAGGTATCCTTTGATTTGTATTCCTGCATCAATCAGGTATTGGCCTTGATGGCCTTATAGGCCCCTTCCAAATTTACTATTCTATGATTCTATGACTTGCAAGGAATGAAAAATAACTCCAGGAAATAATGGCAATAAGCATAATGAGCTCAAGCAACAGCTTCTACAGAAAGTACCAAGTACTAAGAATATAAAACTTAAATAACTGACTTTAAATTAAACTTACCCATTCTTATAAACTTTACCCTTATTCAAAAGTACTGGTGTCACTCCACATAACTGCAAAGTTGACAACATCTCTAAGCATGGCCACTTTACACTGTACCAAGATATAGTAATAGATGTCTCATTCAGAGAGATATCTGATTGATCCGTTATATGTTCCTTCCCATTTTTGTCCTTTAGTATGATCACCCATCTCAAACCAGAGAACCTGTTATTGGGAAAGCAAAAGGAGCTTTTAAACTGTCAATTTAATATACAGCATATGGAAATGTGCATCTGCAGTAACTAGCCTGTTCCAAATTTCCAACGGAAATCAATGTATATTTTCTACTTTTTTGTTGTTTTACTACCAGCAAAACCAAAGACACCAAAACAGAAAGATCACTGTAGTGCTATAAATTTATATTTTCTATTTTACAAGGTAACATTAACCAGAAGTTAGTAAAACTTAACCATAGCCATCTAACTATCTGAAGTATTTTTATTCATTAGCTGATAGAGAAAACATGCAGACTTATTTCAAAATTGTACACGTATATTTTATAATTTTGCTTACTTGATAGCTTTATCCATCTTCAGCGGAAGACCCGTATAAGTATTTATTGGCTTTAAAAGTTGGATTATGTCACTTCTAATAGCTGCTATATTTTTCAAAATATACTCTTTCTTCCAATATCCCGATTCCCTTTCTTGAGACTCTGGAGGGCTCAGAGGTGTTGTTGGTTCCTCAACAGATTTGGCTCTCCATTTTTTCCTTTTAGGTGGAAAAGTTGAAGTGTACATTTTAAACCACAAGGAACTGGAGAAAAGAAACAAACACACACACTGTTTAAAGACCTACACATTGTTTAAAGACCTAAAGAGCTTAGGTCTTTAAACACTGTTAAGAAATATAACGGCAAATCAATCTGTAACTTGAAAACATTAAAACGCAGGATTTTTCTGAGCTCCTTAAACACCATGAGCCTTAGATAATCCTTATCTAAGCAGGTAAAAATAACTTGTGCTGAGTGACTTCTCCAGCATTCTCTTACCATGTGGAAATTCTAATACAGCAGAAGTGTTAGGATCTAAATTCCATTTATATATCATTTAATTTGCTGAATTCATTTATAATTTGCATGTCCTCCTGTAGGGATCAACCTACTGATAGCCAAAATTTGCTGTTTCCCTGCATCATGGCTTACTGAAATGTCTCAATACATTATCTTGGCTGGATCACAAAAGCATCTCAATGACAAAATGGAATAGGTATCTTGCGACAATTTTTGACCCAGCAGTTTTGTGACTGCAAAAAGAAACCATTAACATGGCAAATGGCTCTTTGTGAATTTTGTAACAAAAACATGACTCTGGTATTCTGAAAGATGCCATAGGCCTGGATGTGACTTAAGATGGCTGAGTTTTTATTTAAAGTGGTGACAGAACTCTTTATTTAAAAAAAAATCCAATGGCAACACTTTCAGTGATATTAATGAAGTCAAACTGCTACAAGTTCTGCTAATTAGCAATCAACATTCAGCTTTGTGCAATTTTCTGTTCATGATGACACATCGAATCCAATTGCTGGAGGATGAATTCATTGCATTATATATTCGTGTTCTCAATTTCTTCTTCCTCTCTTTTTTTCCTAAAAAAAAAAAAAAAGAGCCCCAAGAAAGATTTTGCTGCATTTATGTTGTAAGTCCAATTTTAAAAAGTTAAGAGCACAGACAACTTCAAGTCTGAAGGAAATTGGGCCTTTTGAGCATTACTTACAACATTTGCCTCTCTTGAGAACAGGATTCTACTACAGTGGTGCCTCGCTTTACGACTGCCCTGCATTATGACGAAACCACATTACGACGATCTTTTTGCGATCGCAAAACAATGGTCTGAATGGCTTTTTTTTCTTTGCGATGATGGGTTCCCTGCTTTGGGAACCAATTCTTTGCAAAACAACGATTTTCCTCCAGCTGATCGGCGGTTTCAAAATGGCCACTGGGTAAATAAAATGGCTCCCCGCTGTTTTCTGGGACGGATACCACACAAGACAGGCACCGAAAATGGCTGCCCTGTGGAGGATCTTCGCTGGACGGTGAGTTTCCAGCCCACTGGAACGCATTGAAGGGGTTTCAATGGGCTTTTTATTTTCGCATTACGAGGCTTTCGTTCTACAGCGATTGCGCTGGAACAAATTAATGTCGTAATGCGAGGCACCACGGTACTTACAAAAAAATTTGGGAACCTCTACATGTTGATGGACTGGGCCTGCCCACACTGGCATATGGTATGTGGGTCACTGATGGCATGGTTTGGATTGGGGGGGAACCTTGACCGCAAGTGTTTTTACTTAGAACAATCCATCCTTCCCCTTTAAGAGCTGTGACACACCTTTCTGGCCCTGCAGTAGGGCATGCACTCTTTCTGGCATACTCATTGCCTGAAGATAGCAGCCTCTGCCATTGCGGCTGTAGTTTTCAAGGGAGGAGAAAGTGAGAGAAGAACAAAAGGAAGCGGGGCAGGGGAGGGAGAAAATGGAATGTCACTGACAAAAGAGAAGACCAATGTAAAAAAAATTTTCACTTCCTTTGAGCCTCCTCAAATGCACTTAATGGACAGCTGATTGGACTACAAAGAAGTCTTTTGCTGCTCACATGGGAAGACCACGCCAAATGGCACATCGTTCCTCTCCCTGACCTCAACAGACCCTTTCTACCCTAACTGGGGCCAAGATCCTCTGTGGAGATCATGTTTTATTACTCAAGTGTGATCACAAAGGGCACCCTATTCTTTCTGCCAGCCAAGTTCATTATAGCATCAAATAATGTTTAGCTCTTAGCAAACTTCATATACTGGTTTAAACGTATGCCCTCAATTTACGAACTTAATCCGTTCCGGAAGTCTGTTCGTAAATCGGAAAGTTCGTAAATTGAGCCAGCATTTTCCATAGGACAGCATTGGAAACCAATTAATCCGTTCTGGCCAAAGTCCTGCCACGCAAAAGCAAGCCGGGCGGCCAGGGAGAAATCTGCTCCCTCCTTTCACCCGATGCTGAGTCCCCTTTGCGCTGGCTGAGCTCAGCCCGGCACGAAGGGGACTCAACATCGGGTGAAAGGAGGGAGCCGATTTCTCCCTGGCCGCCCAGCTTGCTTCCAAAGCCAAAAAGGCAGGGAGAAAGGGTGGGAAGTTCGAACCTCCCACCCTTTCTCGCTGTCTTTTTGGCTTCTGAGGTTTCAAATGGCTTCCTCCGACGTTGGAGGAAGCCTTTTGAAAGCTCCAAAGGCAGGGAGGAAGGGCAGGAAATTCAAATTTCCCGCCCTTTCTCCCTGCCTTTTAGGTTCGTAACTCAATCTGCGTTCGCAAGTAGGGTCTGCTACTTGTGATGAGTAACCTGAAACGTCGTGATGAGTAACCCGAAACGTTCGCAATTAGGGCCGTTCGCAAGTCGAGGGCCCACTGTAACTGGGGTTTTATACTCTGTTTGCCTCCTCTCTCTTACTTGTCACTGGAGAGATGATAAAAACGTTTATTGACACAGCCAGCACAAAGCAGAGATTGAGCATCCAAGTATGAGAATATCTTCAGTAGTATCTCTGAAGGCATGCTGGATAAGGAAAATGAGAAAGTCATGCACTCTTATGAACAGACTTGATAAACAATGGGTTTAATAAGGAAAGCAATGCCATCCATATGTAAAACTAAAGACATCCCCTAAAATTCCATAACTCAATTAAAAAAACCTGTCTTCGTAAAAACAAAAGAATGATCCCTAGAAGTTCAACTTCATATGGAAACATGTAATTTAGGTCATGCTTCGTATCAGAGTAAACATTTTGGTTCACAGACAAGACAAGATTGTCTTTTGGCAATTATCTGGCAGGTTGGAAAGGAAGGTAGGATATAGTACCATCAAAGAAAAGATAGGTAGGATGATATAATCATTTGAACCTGCCAAAAAATTGCCAAAAGACAATCTTGTCTTGTTTGTGAACCAAACATTTAAACTATAATTGTTCTTAGAAGACCATTATTGGAATACAACGTTAAGGCTAGAACATACACAGAAGAGGGCATGCCACTGCAGTCAACAGATTTTTCAAATATGAATAACCATCATAATAAATAAAAACATACCATTTCAATGCTGGAGATGCAGGAAGGAAAGAGGGACCTATATGCATATGTGAATGTGTGAAATAAGAAAGAATGGGCACTGGTTTTTAAAGAAATTAGAAAAATGATTGGATGCAATATTCGGATATCGCCAATTATTGCCCTCCTGAACATAATTAAGAATCATTTGAAAAAAGATCAAAAAGAGTTAGTTGTTATAACGGTTATGGTAGCAAGATATAATATTTGTAAAAAATTGGAAAGGTGACAAACAAATCAGTCTTGAAGATTGGTATAAAGAAATTTGGAGCTTAGCAATTAATGATAAGTTAACATATGACATGAAAATAAGAAGATGAATGGTAAAGTCTAATGATTTCAAAGATGTATGGAATTTATACTTGCAGTATGTCTTTTTGAAGGGGAAAGTCCAGCAAAAGACTCAATGTATTCTTGGAGAGAAATACGACGAAAAGGGGTACAAATTGATATTATTGGTCACCTAGTCCCAAGGGTGAAGGTAGCATGGGTGGTAATAGTTCAATGTGTATTGTGTGTAGTCACCATTGAGTTTGAATTGTAGTTTTAATTTTGTTATTTGTAATTTTCCTTTTATTAATAAAAAATGAATAACCATCATTCAAATTTTACTATAAAGCAACAGGTTATTTTACCTGTCAAAGTTGACTGAAGAATTAGATTTGATAGCAGACTTCCAATGCCGACTGCGAATTTGCATCCCTTTGACTTTAGAGAGCGGCAGAGCCAAAGTAGTGGACTGTTTTGCTGAGGCACTAAAAGGGAAAAGAATAACACCATTGTATCTACTAAAGATATCCATCAAGATGATTGACCCATTGCATTGCTAAAAATTGTCTAAACATTTTTAGAGTAACATGACTGACATTCTAATGGGAAGGTAGGTGATAAAGAAGCTGTTCTCACAGAGAATCATATCTATGGTCTAACAGCAACAACATAATGATTTGATTTTAATAAGCCAGATGTCATACTTCTGGATTAGCAACTAAGAAAAAATTTCCTTATACTGTAGATGTTGGAGTTCCATCAGCAAGCAACCTCAGAAGTATAGAAAGTGCAGTAATTGCAAAGAACCAAACATTAAGGCAAGAAAATAAAAGAATATGGAAGCAAGATCAGGTTGCCCTCTTTCCCATACTAGTTACTTCAAAATCTCTAGTTACCAATTTAAAACAATTGCCAATAGCTGTTAATTTGTTTCCGAAATCCAAACATGAGTGATTTTCCAAACATGATTCCTAATTTTCAGACTTGGCCCTTTGGCCCGCCTTCCCCACTAATGCTGAAAAATAAAAAGTGTAAGATAATAATAATATTAACAAGAAGAACAGTGATGGTCTAATAATGCCTCTCCTCTGCTCAAAAGACATTATGGTTTTGTCTTTTGGCTGGATATTTATTATTAATTGTCCTCCTGATTATTTTAACAGTAGTCAAATAAATTTCTTCTCTGCAAAAGTCAATTGTGGGCAAAGTTTCATTTGGTAGTTATACATATCAGACAAACCAATGCCAGAAAAGGAGGCAGGTACCCTCACACAAAGGAAACAGTTCATTGTAAAAACATAAGGCAAATGTTTTCCACCCAGCAACCCCCAAAACAGAAAGCATAATAACAATCTGAGCACAGGAAGCTAGGCTGGCCCCATTTTTGATGTCTTTTCACAAGCATGAGAATATCTTTTTCTTCAGGCAACCTTTCCCTGAGCGAGGTGTTTAAATGGCTTGTTGTACCTTACTGATCTGAATGTATTTTGATGTTGCTTATGTTTTGTTTTGGTTTTTTTTTTTTTCAAACGGTGTTTGATCCCTTGCAGTATTTGTATACTCATTGTTAGCTGTAATATTGTCTTTTAATGAAGTAAACAACCTTGGGTCCTCTTAAGGACAAAAGTGTAGTAAAGATAAAATAAAATACAGTTTAAAATATTCCCCTTAATAAGAGTGCAAGAAAAATGGTTTCAGTACATTCAAGCGGCTTTGATATTAAAAGTACAGAAGGAGCCAACGAGAAAGTCATGAAGTGACTTTCATTTTTTTTTAAATCGAATGAATAAATACTAAAAAATGTGGATGCACTCTGTATATATATATCGTGTTTTGAGAGCAAAGAAGGTGGTGGCATGCACTTCTTTTGGCTACAACGCCCAGAATCCCACAGCCGCTGGCTCTGGTATCCTGAGAGGACGCAGTCCCGAAAAAGCAAACTCTCCTATCTCTGGCCGTGCTTCGCCCCCGCCCCCACGGAAAGGAACGCAAACGGTGCCCGTTACCTGCCCGGGACAGAGGAACTCATCGCGTCGGCGTTCTTTCCAGAGGGATGAGTTACCACAGGGCCCGGGGAACGTAAGAAGCCTAAACTGTGCTGCCTCAAAATCCAGCCGCGTCCCGTCGCCATGGTGACTGGCGTCAATAGGTTGTTGACTGACGCGTCAGATCAAAACCATGATAAAAGCAGCAAACCGCGAGTGGGAAAGCATCCCAAGGAGTCCACAAGCTAGAACCGCCAATGTCTTGGCTTTCCCACAAGGATCGAGTCTTTGGGCTCTTTCCCTTTGTCCTTCCGTTGAGGGGCGTGGCCAGAGTGGGGGGGGAGGGGTTCTACCCCCTACAAAAGGAAGTCCCCGGAGCAAAAGGGTGGAGATGCACGAGTGGTGCTATTGTAGGATGAGAGGATAGAGCGAAGGATCAGGTCTCCTCACAACGCAAAGGCGTGTGTACGTTTCCTGAGAAGTGTCCTACCACGCTTAGTTTAGGCAAAGTAGTCCGTCGGAGTAAAACAGCAAAGAACCTTTGTATATCGCGATCCCAGACTAGAGGAGACCCCCTTGATTCTATGGCATTTACTTAAGTCTTGGTGTGCTATAAGCTATCAAGTTGAAACTGATTTATTGTGACCTTAAAAGGAATGTCACAGTAAGTGTGATATTTAAGAAGTGGTTGTAACAGTCCCACCTGGCATCCTCCCTGAGTATCCAGGGATTTGAACCCCGGTCTCCTGAGTCCACTATCATTCTACCTTCTACTGTACTAATCAGCAGGGGTTCAGACAGGTTTTGCTCCAGGCAGCTGTATGCTCCACAAACTAGCCTGTTGCCTTCAGCTCTGGCAGAGAATAGTGTCCTGTGCCATGGTGCCCATGTCAGAGGCAACTGCCAACAATGTTGAGTTCTCTAAGTAGAATCAGGAAGTCTTCCTAAGGTCTCCCTCAGGTAGCAAAATCTCTCAGGCCAGCCCTTTGAAGTATTCAGTCACCACTCCTCTCGGCCCCAGCAATGTGGATCTATATGACCCAGTCATTGATTTATTTATTTAACTTATATGCCGCCCACACTACCCAGAGGTCTCTTTAGTAGCAGAACAAAGGGGCTGTTTGTTTCCATATGAAGAAAAGCCCTTTACGCACTTCAAGAAATGCAGTTTGTTCCATGTAGCAAAATTGCAACCCAAACTAGGTGCCACCTTTTCCAGAATTATGTTAATAAGTTGCACTAGAATCATTGAATTGTTGTAGCTTTGGAAGAGACCTTGGAGGTCTTCTAGTCCAACCCCCTGGACAAGGCAGGAAACCTCATACCATCCCAGACAGATGGCTGTCCAATATTTTCTTTAAAATCGCCAGTGATGGGGCACCCACAACATTGGGAAGCAAACAGGTGTTCCACTGTTTAATGGTTCTCAAGGTCAGAAAATTCCTCCTTATTTACAGGTTGGATTTTCCTCTGATGAGTTTCCACCCACTGGTGAGCACTTGGAGTGTCCAGTTCTGGTCACCACAATACAGAAAAGATCCTAAGGCCCTGGTACTATCACTCCCGTGATCTTGATGCTATCCCCCTGTTGATGCAGCCTAGGACTGTGTTGACTTTCTTGGCAGCTGCAGCACTCTGCTGACTCATCCTTAGGCAGTGGTCCACCAGAACAACTAAATCCCTGTCAAGCCAGGTACCACCTATCCTGTACCTGTGCATCTGGTTTCTCCTGCCTGAGTGCAGGACCTTACTTTCCCTCCACTGAACTGCATCTTATTGGTCTAGATCCTTCTGATTGAGTCGATCTTCAAAAGTACAGTATTAGCAATTCTCCCCAGCTTTGCGTCATCAGCAAATTTGATGAGTGCACCTTCAATCCCTTCATCCAGGTCATTTATAAAGATGTTGAAGAGCACTGGGCCCAAGACAGAACCTTGAGGGACCCAACTGCACACTTCCCTCCACGTAGATGTGTTTCCACACATTGAGTGTGGTTGGTCAGCCAGCTGCAAATCCATCTGGTACTTGTGCTGTCTATACCACTTTAGAGTATTCTATCTTATGCAGAACTGGTTGTGGTCTATCTTATCAAAAGCCTTACTGAAGTCTAGGTATACTATCTCTACTGTGTTTCCTTGGTCCACTAATTTAGTCACTTTATCAAAGAAGGCAGCAAGATTTGTTTGGCATGACCTGTTCTTAGCAAACCTGTGCTGGCTTCTAGTAATCACTAGTTGAAAACAAGCCTGGCCCAACCATTAGGCTGGGAGAGGTGACCACTTCAACTGAGAAGCACATTATGTGTGTCACAAAAAGACAGCACATAGATATTTGTAATTATGTTTTTTTTAAAAAAAAAAAAATCCAAGCTGTGGATGTTTCTTTAGGGGAGAAATGCTTCAGCCATTTTCTACCCCATCTGCCAAAATAAACAGGGTTGCCTTGAATACTATACACTTTGAGATAGGAGGTGCTGCTCTGCTTGAGGTAGCAAAATGTGTTGGGCCAACTATAAAAATGACATTATTGTTCCATGTGCCTTATCAGTTGGGGTGGCTTATAAATTTAGCAGTCACTGCTGGCTAAATCTTTAAGTACTATTTGTTCCTACCGTGTGAGATTTGGCATAACAACTGCCCACTTAAAAGACATTTTTAGCTTTACAAAACCTACATGTTTTAATACAATTAATTATTTCGAGCAATGCCATCCTAAGCAAAGTGCGCGCTTATTTTTGGAGGCTCATCGCTTTTAACAAATAAACTGAAAGCCATGAAATTGGAAGCAGAGTCCAACACTGTAACCTGAGCGTCTTTGCGAAATACGACGCTTTGCATTGTGGTAGTTGTAGTCCTTTATCCTGAGCGCCTATCAGCAAGTCGGATTGCCAGCGAACAACCGGGAACAACTACAGTTCCCAGAGACGTTTGGGAAAAAAAATAATGGCGGGGGAAAGTGGAACCATTTGTTAGTGAAAGGGTCGTGTCCCTTTTGGAGGTGTTAATTCTGGTAAGACTTTAATATGATTTTTCTTTGTACAGCTGTGAATCTTTTGCATCGAGATTAAACCACGGAAGGATGAGCTTGATTCCTTGCACACGACAGGAGATTTCGGTGTAAATTACCAGGTCGTGCATTTGGAGCAACATACAGTAGTAAGAGACGGGGGTCCTTCTCATAATGCTTTCTTCTTTCGTGCGAGGAATTCAGTGTAGCGATAAGCTGTTGGGATCCACCGGGAATTGGCCGATCATACCCCATCGGAAAGTACTTCAAAGGACTTGGGCGCGCCTAACGCTCGGGAAAGGATCCATCCACAGCGAGGGCGCCCCTGCCTTGCGCCCTGGGATAGCATGTGGGCGAATACAAAAGCGAAACCTCTGGATCCAGACGGGGGCTCTCAGCGCAGGGAAGCCTGAAAGCAGCGCGCAGGTGTCTGTGCAAAGAAGCCAGAAAGGAGGGGCATCTCTGTCACCCGCTCAGAAAGGTAAGGAGCACTAATTCCAGGGGGGGTGCCAACCAAACCGAGGAAATCACGGCTACAAGCCTGTTACAGCTATACAGTACTTGGGAATAAGCCCCTTTGAAGGTACAGTAGTGGTGCTTACTTTTGGATGAACATGTATTGCAGTAAATCCACAGTAAATCTTTGAAGGTGAAGTTATGCAAAAAAAAAAAAGTTAAGCTCTTGTATGTTACTTCGGTTTACTGCCCCTGAATGTCTAGTTTGTGCATTAGGAACATTTCTACAGTACTCTTCAGCTGAATTAGTTCCCAGGGTGTTTTATAAAGATTTGAAAACAAGACCATCTTGAAATGAAATGGAACTAGTCAAAAGGGAAAACTAGCATTTAAAAGCAGCAGCAGTTAGAACAAGTGCAAACTTAAAAGTAATATGGCAGAATAAGAAAAGTCTTCTCAGGGCATAGACAGAAAGTATGTCTGCATGATACCACTTAATTCACCCTATGGAATCCTGGGATTTGTAGTTTGCTGGGGGAAAAAGTTATCTCCCAAAGAGTTGTGGTGCAGTCCTTCAACTATGTCCATATGAACATACCTGATCGTCTGAATGATGTCATGTCATCTAAGTATACACTTCTCTCTCCAATAATACTGGGGTTGGGACATTGGGCCCCACGTAGTTCAAAATCCATGTATACCTCTTACGCCCCTAAAAGCTTAACTACAAAGCATAGAGTTGATTAACACACATGCGCAAACATGCAGCTAAAGGCATCTAAAAAACAGAAAAGGCAGGTGTTTTGTTCACATTTTGTTCCAGAAACTAGGGGCTACAAACAAAATGGGACAATTCCTTGGATTTGTCTTTTTGGCCTCCCTCAGTGTGGCCACTTTTAGCAACATGGATTGAGAGGAGTGGATAGAACAGGTAGCTGATTTCAAACATTCGGACAAGTATCAAAGCCCTAAACTGTTAAGGGCTGGAGATGGGGATATTCGTATATGAATACTAAGATAATGGCCACTGGTCCCATCACCTCCTGGCACATCGAAGGGGAAGATATGGAGGCAGTAACAGATTTTACTTTCTTGGGCTCCGTGATGACTGCAGGTGGTGACAGCAGCCACGAAATTAAAAGATGCCTGCTTCTTGGGAGGAAAGCGATGACAAACCTAGACAGCATATTAAAAAGCAGAGACATTACCTTGCTGATAAAGGTCCGCATAGCCACAGCTATGGTTTTTTCAGTAATGATATATGGAAGTGTGAGGTGGACCATAAAGAAGACTGACCGCTGAAGAATTGTGGTGCTGGAGGAGACTCTTTAGAGTCCCCTGGACTGCAAGGAGATCAAATGTATCCATTCTGAAGGAAATCAACCCTGTGTGCTCACAGGAAGGACAGATCCTGAAGCTGATGCTTCAATACTTTGGGCATCTTATGAGAAGAGAAGACTCCCTGGAAAAGACCCTGATGTTGGGAAAGAGTGAAGGCAAGAGGAGAAGGGGACGACAGAGGAGATGATGGATGGACAATGTCATCGAAGCTACCAAGATGAATTTGACCCAACTCTGGGAGGCAGTGGAAGACTTGAGGGCCTGACGTGCTCTGGTCCATGGGGTCATGAAGAGTCGGACACGACTAAACAACAACACCCCCACACAGGTGGACATAATGAGGCTCCATCCCCATGGGACTGGATGGTCCACTCACTGACCCGGCACGGGCGCTGGATCAGTGAGTGGACCGTCCAACCTCATGTGCCTGGAGCCTCGTAATGTCCACTCACCGATCCGTCACTGGCATGGGCCCCTCAGAACCTTCCAGTGGCTCCTGAGATCGCATTTGGCAAGCCACTCTTCAACCTAACAGAGCAGCTTGTTCCATCTCCTGCCAGGAGTGGCGAGCCAAACGTGATCTCCAGAGCCATTGGAAGGCTCCGCGGCACCCACAGCAGCGGTGGATTAGTGAGTGGATCATCCGGCCCCATGGGGTTGGACCCTCGTTATGTCCACCTGTGCAGAGGTATTCGTATACGAATATGAATACCCCAATTTCTAGTCATAACCAGCAATTTGAATTGAGCATGGAAACTAACAGAGAAGGGGACCCCAAAACTGATCAGATTTCCTAGTCCCAGTTTTCAGTCTGGTTATTTATACTGTTTCTAAAACTTAATTATTTCTTCTTTCTGAACATTTTTGTTCTTTTCACCTCAGAAGTTCAGGGCAATATATATAGTTTGTGCTTGTTTTAAGCTCATAACAGCTGTGTGAGATAGGTTCAATGGAGAGTATGTGACTGTTTTAACGCCATTTATTATGACTGAGGACTTCAACCTAGTTTACAGTAGCTAGTATAGTTTGGCAGTCTCCTCACTAGGTGCTGATTACCTTTGTCACTGACGACTAACTGCTTAAATTCCTGCTTTGGAGATGCTCACAATTAAAATAAGTATCTATTGGGAAAAGCTTTGCAGTATTGCCCGGTTTGGTCTTGACTGTTTCAGAGCTAGTGGCAAGTGGCCTTCATGTCTCCTCTTCCCAGTAAAAGATACAATTATTAAAAATATTAAAATACATTATGTTCATCTGAAGAAAAGTATTCTCAGAGCAGTTTAGTTGGAGCTAGATAATGGGTAGAAATTGACCATATTCAATCAGCCAGCCAGATTTTTGATCAGGAGTTTTCTATTGCACTCTCTCTGATCATGGATTTCTCATAAGTAACTGGTTGGCCACTGTGTGAGCAGAATGCCAGCCCTAAGTCAAACGGACAACAATGTTTCAATGGCTCAAAGGTAATATGATGGCTTTTTCATTGTCTGGGATACACACATTCATTCTGCTATTGTTACTGGCGAAAAAATATTTTGTATGGGGAAAAACTCATCAAACAGAAGGAGCAAAGCAAGCTGGGTACACAATATACTCTTTCATATCATCTTCAGTAAATTCTTGTAAAAGGCAGAGAGGAGGATGGTAGCAAAAAATATCAGTAGAAATACTCAACCCAGTTCCATTGAGCTGGAAGGTAACACAGTTTGAAGCCAAAATAACTGAAACAGGCACAGTGTACATTATAATTATCAAACTGCAGTGGGGCATGCTAGTGAGATATGGAAGAGCTGCTAGTATGTCTCATGAAAGATTTAATTATATTTATTTTCATAAACTGTGTATGTTTTTCTGCTTTATTCAAATATTTTTTTACAAAATATAGCATTACTTACAGTATAACAAAAATATAAGAACATCATCAGTATTATCTTTCAGTCTAGACCAGTGGTTCTTAACCTTTGTTACTCGGATGCTTTTGAACTGCAACTCCCAGAAACCCCAGTCAGGACAGCTGGTGGTGAAGGCTTCTGGGAGTTGCAGTCCAAAACTCCTGAGTAACCCAAGGTTAAGAACCAGTGGTCTAGACTAAAGAGCCACAGAAAACTGCTGATTAAAACCTGGAATTAAAAGATAGATTTTGGGGACTTGGTGAAAACCTATGTCAAATTTACAGCTGGTGCGGGAACATTGCCAATATGTATATTAGAACTAGTACAAAACCATCCCAATGTTCTCCCCTGTCATTTTTGAGGCAAATGCTACTGTGTTCTTAACTTTTATGCATTTAAAAGCAGCATTTTAGGAGCCCAAGCATGGCTGTTTGTGAAGCTCCATTATAGGCCTTATTGTCACATGATGTATAACTGCTGATTTGTTTTGTTTCAGTGAAAGAAGCTGGAAGAGATTTCACCTACCTAATAGTGGTGGTGGTTGGGATCGGCGTCACAGGTTGTTGAAACAAACAAAAAACCCTTCCTAAGTTACAAGTTCTTTACAGTATTTGTTGGCCCCGCCAGCAGACAGACTTGGTTTATTTGCACCTGGTGTTTCCTCTGTTTCAGGTGGTTTATTCTATGTGATTTTCAAGGAACTGTTCTCTTCTTCCAGCCCCAGTAAGATTTATGGAGATGCCTTGGAGAAATGCAGAGCTCACCCTGAGGTTGGTTTGTTTTTGTTAAGAATTTCCCTTCTTTTGTTCTTTTGAAGGAAATCTTGATTACTGTTTCTCCTCTTAACCACTACAACTTTCTTTTTTGCTGGCTCTTACATTTTTAACTTGAAAAGAGGACCGATTTGGAACAGCTGAAAATGGGTTTAATTGTAGAATTGACTGACTGTTCTGCTGAGTGTGTTGTCAGATCATGAGCACTAAAGCTGTGCTCTGCAAGATCATAGCTGTGAACAAAGTCTGGTGAATCAAAATGGCCGGTCAACTTCTATTCATGACAAATGGCATTAATATCATCTTTCCTGGAAGGTGGTGAGAGGGTAGCAACTACACTGAGTAGTAACTCCAAGAGAAAGAATTTTGTTAGAAAGAGGATTTTTGTACCACTTGAAGCTGAACTTCATTCTTTGAAGGGTCACTCCTTCCAGCCACTGTGTAAAGCTATCCAATGTGACTTCTACTGACTTTTTAAAAAGCTAGTTCAGTATCGATAGTTTATCCAGTCTTGTTAAGACAGAGACTACAGAGCTTTTGGTTTCTAAAAGGATCAGTAAAATGGAGATTGTTCTGAGTTTGCAGCTAGCCTTTCTGTTTGCAAAAATGGATCAAGCTTTTCCTATTTCATCCCCCTAGGATTCCTTAAAGGTGAAACTAAAATCTTCCACATCACCTCCTACTTTATGGGTCAGGGCCATGTACCCCTCCTCCTGGGTGTTTTTTGTGTCCCCTGGAGCCCCACCCAACAACCCATCAGGGGGAAAGGAATTTCACAACACACAATAAAAAGGTTGTTTTCCCCTCAAAACAAATTGAAAAAAATCATGTCTGTAGAGGTAGTTGACCATCACCACAAGTCTCCAAGGAATGTGGTTGACCATTTAAAGGCCGTTTCACATTTCCAAGCCTGTTTTGCACCCAGAGTAATCCCAGGGACATTTGGAGCTTGCTTGGTGGTATGCTAAAGCTTTTTTGGACACTTGTAGGCCCTTCATTTCCTGTTTCATCTTTTAAGGGTCACTCCTTCCAGCCACTGTGTAAAGCCACATTATGCAGATACAATGATTTCATTATCAAGCCAGCCCCAAACTCTCACCTCCTTGCAACATGGTTTTAATATCTTCATGTTTGAAATTAGAAATCTGGAGCTCCAATGCGTCTACACATTTTTGATTCACTCAATGCACTAATATGGATTTTGGAATAGTTTTTATTGCCAGTATGTATGGCTAACTTGGTTTTCTGTGGTCATAGATTATCAGAGAGGGTTAGAGTTAGATGTAGGCTCTGGTAAGGAGCAAGAGATGTTTTTAAAGCTATGTTAGGAAGACTAAATTACCCAAATTATATACCACCGTGTTTTTTCCCTCAAACATTTTGCATTTGGGAGAAACCTTCCCATATCAACTAGACAGTCAGGAATCTGCCACCACAGACCCTCAGCATTTTTCAGAGGATTCTGGTATGTGTGATGTGAGAGTGGGTGTCCACATGGTGGGGTACTAGTTACCCCAGATGGACCTCACTGTTGCTCTTGGTAAAATGACAGAGCACTGTAGATTGTGTCCAGCATTCTCTGCTGCAGCTTATTTCAAAGGAAATAATTGTAGGCATGCTGTCGAGGAAGCATTATTCACGGTATCAAGAAAACAGCTCACCTGGAGCTCAGTAGAAGATGGGCCAGTAAACATTAACTCTTGTCTTTACTAATTAGGTAATAGGGTTTTTTGGAGAACCCATCAAAGGTTATGGTGAAGCAACTCGTCGTGGGAGAAGACAACTGGTCAGGTACCTATTGATGAATTTCTTCCAGAGGTCCCAGTTCCCCCCCCCCGAACACTACTTATGAATTTGCTGATTAAGTTATTTATATTCCTTGACATTTGTTGAATTCACTTGTCTTACCATCTCTTCAAGCAGAAGATGGTAGTAGAGAAAATAGCTTGAGGCCTAGGTAAATGGCCAGAATCTGAGATCATAACCCAACATTATCCTTTGCAAGTGCACTTGCCAAGAAACTAGTGGCATTTTCATTGTTTAAATATATGGTAGCAGGAACCATTTGCCAGTCCTGTCCATTGAAAAACAATGCTGCCATCACTGAAACACAGAAAGTGGACATGCCACAAGACAGAACTGTGAAGCAGCCCTCACAGTTTATGAAAATACGTGCTGAGTTTATTTAAGGAGTTAAAATAATGACTCTAAAATAGTGAGTGTTTGGCCCTCCTCCAAAAGGCTCGAGATGCTTCCAAATCAGGTGCTGTACTGAAGGTAGAGAGTTACCTTTAGACATTCTTCTCCTAGCAGTGAAAGTGCCACCAACCACTCTGCTATGCTAACCATCAAGGCTTCAGAGGGAGAGAGCATGGGAGCATCTGACCACAGGAGTTATGTCCCAGTTTTGCTGTCTTTTGAGGGGGAGTCTGAAAATACTGGGTTCTAGTTCTGATATTGGCACTGAATTCATATTTCAATCAACAACGTATATACACAACACAAGTACAGCTGTGCACAATTTTTTTTCATCTCGTCTGCCAGTATGATAACAATGGACAAGCTGGGAACTCAGAAGATCAGGTGAATTTAGAAGGGGCTCAGAGCTAAAAAAAACCTTGAAGAAATACTGAATTAAAACAAGGCATTTGATTGCAATCCTGTTGTGTCCAGTGCATTAATTCAGTGAGATGCACATTGACTCCTAGTGTAGGATCTGATGTAAATCAACAAAGACCCTAATAATTTGTTTGTGGATAAGTCAGCCAAAGGCTTCAGACAGGTGTAGGTCAGATATAAACATGAGTATGGAACTTTATAAAGTAAGCAAGCAATCCGCAGCAAAAATGTGTAAAGTTCATGTAAAAAACTAAGAGATGTATATAGTTCATCAAACCACTGTGTGCACAGATCTGAGTTATTTCCTGTCCAGCAGAGCTTGCAAAAGTTACTTGTTAGAGTTAGAATCTCTCAGCTAGTATGGCCACTGAACATTGTACATGCAAGTGTGGGTGTCACAACTGTAGTATTGTACTTGTCTTTGTAAGATTCACAGCTTTCAAAACCTCTTCCTGTTTTATTTTACTTTAGCCACATTGAGTACATAAAAGATGGGCTGAAATACATGCGCCTGAAGTTCTATATTGAGGGCTCAGAAAAAGGAAAACAAGGGACGGTTCATCTAGAAGTGAAAGAGGTACAAGAGCTTTCCTGATCTACATAGATCCAAGATTTAATATTCAAATTATTGCATGCAAAAAAACCTGATTTCACCCATTCTAACTTTTTTTAAACAGAATCCTGACAGTGGAAAATATGAATATCGTTATATATTTGTGGATATTGATGTCTATCCCCGAAGAACCATAATAATCGAAGATAATAGATAACAAAATGATTAGAATAACCTTATTATACTTGTTCATGGAACTGCAGTTTGCAAAAATGGAATAAATGCAGGAAGAGTTCACAGAAGGGTCACTTTGCATCCTTATAAAATGTTGCTAATGCATGTGGGCTATAATTCTGTTGGATAAATATTGGAAATAGGGAGTCATGGTTTTAATAGAAAACACAACAGTGTTGATGCATGTAGTATAAGTTGGTAGCAATGTGACCCAGCAATTCATCAAATATTTTTGATGGTGAATCCATATGTGTGTGTGTGTGTGTGTGTGTGTGTGTGTATGCACGTGCACATACACACTTTTTTAGAATTTCAAGATGAATTTTTCTGTTAGAAACTGGATTTTGTATCAATCATGCAATAAAGAAAACATAAAATGAACAGAATGCGCTCGTTCTCTTTTTGTACACATGGTTCATGCACAGCTTCTGTTTCTGTGTTGCTCAATAATACAGAAATACAAAGCCACAGTAGGACAGAATGCTTCATAATACATTTTAGGGGGATAGTGCTAGATGTTCCCATGTTATGATATTTGGGGATGGAAGTCATGTTTGAAAAGAGCTGAAACACTTCCTAGAAATACAGCCTCCCCATTCTGAACCCCCGTGTCTTTCTCAGTCATATTAACTGCCACCATTTGCTTTGTCTGCTGCTGCATTGCTGTCATTTTTTCTTCCCCATTGCTTTATCCTCTTTTTCAAGCATTCACAAGTGTGATGGACAGGCCAGAAACCACACCCGGCCATCACAATGGAACACTGATTCAGTAGCCAATGGTTGTGCAGGAGGGAGGAACCAAGGAATACAGACTGGGAGTTCAAAATCCAGCAACAACTGAAAGGCTACAGCTTTGTTATTCCTGAAGAATTGTAGTTTAACACCATCTTGCTCAATGGTGTATAAGAAGAGAATGGAGGACAGTTAAAAGCAGTTAGAGTTTTGGTTGGACAGGAGTTAGGGGTTTCAGTTAGTGATGATACAGGACAGTTAGTTAGGAGTTAGGGAAAGAGTTGGTAATTGGAAGAATTGCTTTGGAAAGAAACATATAAGAGAACTGAATGCAGTGAAACCTGTAAGAAATAAATAAATTGTCTAAAGTGATTGAAACTAAATACAAAGTAACCAGCATATTTCCAAGTTTAATGAATATCAAATACAATACCATCTATGATTTCCTTGAGTCTTAAATATGTTAATCTGTTAATAAACAACGTTATATTTGACACGACTGATTCTGTGGTCCTAATTGGCAATTGAGGAAAGATTTCCTCTGGTGGCAGTGGAAGTGGAGACAAGAGAAATTGTCATGCCTGAAGGCAAATCTGTTTGTTAGGGAGAACATACAGAGGAGCTGGGGTTGTGGGACAACAGGTGATCTAATGTGAATCCTGAGTATCATGTAGTAGAGAGGTAAGAGATTCCTGTCACGCCTGACCATAAGCAGTGCTTTGTAGGACTCTGGGAGTTCAAAATCCAGCAACAACTGAAAGGCTACAGCTTCATTATTCCTGAAGAATTGTCGTTTAACATCAAAACACCATCTTTCTCAATTTTATTTCCTTGTATGATGTCACTGAAGGGAGATAAAGTCAACAGAAAGTGAAAGCGTCTCTTGGATCAGTCACATCATTGATCCCCCAATCAAAGGAACACACCATAAATGATTTATCATCAATCCACTAGACCACTGGTTCTTAACCTTGGGTTACTCAGGAGTTTTGGACTGCAACTCCCAGAAGCCTTCACCACCAGCTGTGCTGCCTGGGGTTTCTGGGAGTTGCAGTTCAAAAACATCCGAGTAATAAAGGTTAAGAACCACTGCACTAGACGAGTGATTCTCAAGCTTGGGTCCCAAGAAGTTCTTGAACTGCAACTCCCAAAAACCCTGTCCAGCACAGCTAGTTGTGAAGGCTTCTGGGAGTTGCAGTCCAAGGACATATGGAAAACACTGCACTAAATAAAAGCTGAATGTGGCTAGATTTCTGCTAATGTCACTGAGAACAAACAAATTCACTTCATGGAACCCTGGATAGAGAAACTCTTGCCTTTCCTTTTGGCACAGTTGCAAAAATAATAAGAATCCAAATGTAAGAATGCTTTTCTGTGCTGCTGAAAATGTTTGTTAAAGGCATTTAACCTTCAGTAGAGCCCTATTCAGTTCTGTGCACATTTGAAAGCTAAGGGACAAACTCCAGGTTCCCTGATTTGGTGTGTGACTTGATATAGCTTAAGATAAAGAACATTGCCACCTGGTGGGCTTTGTGGCAAATTACCTCACTTTATCCCTCTCTTGCTTATTCTGTCATTAAACAGAAATCGTATGATGATCCAATATTGCTTAACTGTTTGTCTTCACATTTATTCAACTTATAGAAAATGAAACAAAACTTTTATTAACCAACTATGCTTCATAACAATAAGCATTCATCGTGAACATTGGGTGCTACTGCTTCCTTTGAGTGGAATTCCACTATGGGGCACTTTAGGGGGCGAAGGTAATATTTTCAATTTTCCTTCTATTTCCAGCGCCACATTCCTGAACTGTTCTGGAGCTTCTGTTGACCCTCTGTAGCAATTTTTTTTCATAAGGGGAAGGAGGAACCTGCAAAAGTTTATCCATGCAGAAACCCTCACTGGCATCCTCTGTGCAACTGAAACAAGCCCTTCTGTTTATCAAATGGCAGATGGGGACCTAATACTCATTTTTTAACATGTAGGTTTCATGATATGCAGTGGTAGATTCTAGAACAACTTTAAAGCAGAACCTAAGAACCACATCCTGTATCACCCTGAGGGAAAGCACTTGCAGATATGAATAAAGATTAGAAGTAGTAAGTTAACTTATTACAGAGAACTGTGTTATATTTAATTCTTCATTTGTACCAAGGATGTACCGTATTTTTCGCTCCATAAGACACACCTTTCCATAAGACGCACCAATTTTTTAGGAGAAGAAAACAGGAAAATATAATCTGTTTTCTTCGCTCCATAAGACGCACAGACTTTCCACCCCCGTTTTGTGGGGAAAAAGTGTGTCTTATGGTGTGAAAAATACGGTAGATAGTTACATTTCAAGCACAATGTAACAGATAGGAATGTCCTTTATTCTTCATGACATAACCAGTAACATAGTCTAATTATGTTTTAATGTTAATTTTAACATGAATTATTCAAATTGTATGCTGTTAAACAGTCTAGACTAGAGAGTCTACCAAGAGTGAGTAAATGGCATATATGTCACCAGACGTAGGTGAAAAGAAGAGATTCAGCAGTATGGGTTGTTAACTGCCTAGCTTTAGAACAGTCTTCTCCAGCCTTGCTATGGCCCAGATGTGGTAAATCCTACCAGTCAACAGTCAGATAGGAGAAGCTAACATGAAGCTTCTGACAGACTATTGAAGGAGTTGGCAATAAAGTGTACCAGTTTCAGGCAGTGATGTCTAGCAAAGTTGCATAGGCCATTTTCTCTACCAATTCTATAGTTTGGAGGTGTATGTTGATTTTTAGTCTAAGAACAACTTGCTGAAAATTTCTGCCACCCTATGGCTTGCATTTCTGCATGTATTAATGGCTAAATAGAAAGCATTAAACCATTTTTATGAACATCCCAATCTCCGTGTATGCAAAGACAAGCATGGAGTGGGTAGGGACAGCTCTAACCTCTCTTACTGCTGCACATCAATCAATCCAAATTGCTACAGGAAAAGAAAGGGGGTGCTGTAAGATTGTGGAACACAGCAGGCTCAAGATATGCTTGTGTGCATGGCATACACAGGAAGAACAACCAACCCTTTACAAAGCAAAATTATCACAGATCTTACATTGTGATCCTAAGTAATGCTTGAACCATGCATTGTTTCATTTTCCTATCCCTTTATTGCGAAGAACAACTGTATGGAACCAAAGGTTGGACATTATGAATTGTGTGACGGGGTGTTAATTCTTACCCTGAATCACCATCTGTAAAAAGAACATGCCCTTCCAGAAGTTCACTTCCAGATTTTTTAGAGACTAGCAAATCCAGTGAAAAGCTTTTGGTTTTCATTTGTTAGGGACCAAAACAGTAGGCACAACCCTAATCTACCTTCATTATAATGATGAATGGCCAGTTCTGGAGCCAATGTAAATTAGCTATTTAAAATGTGCTGAGAATCTGGTTTAAATTTTACACTTCCAATATGAAAATACAGCATCTCAATATAAAATGTAGAATACTATACATTTCCAGGATTGTGATTGCTTCGTCAATTTAAGTGAGAAAGTGATTTAGCAAGCACAGCATCACTGGCACTGTAGTTCTCTTCTAATCTGCTTGCCGTCTTTTTTCCTCCAACATGCCTGGGTTAGCACATTGAGAAACGTGTGCTTTTACCCCACTTTCTGACAGGACAGCTGCAGAGTCCATTTATCAGAATAAAGCACAGGCAAGGCAGCTTCAGCAGAGAATTCAGCAATTGATTTTTAGGCTGGATTAAGCTTTCTCCTTCATTGCCTATTGACTCAGTGCCTAGCAATAAATTATGATTCCCACATGCTTGGAATTCTTCATATGTACAATTCAGAAGCACAATGGCTTGCTAATTTGCCAATGGCATACAGCAGCATGTGTGCTGGAACTCAAAAGCATTTTAAAAAGAAACCAGTTTGCAAAATATAAAATGCTGGGCACAGTATAGAACGTAGGTTATATGGTTGTTGGCTTTTCCCATGATGCTTAAAGACCGCTACTTAATTGCGTGACTCCAAAATGGCAGACTGAAATCCTTGAATAAGTTGCAAGATACCGTATGATGGGTTCCAAGTAATGAGCCCACATAAAACCAGTGACGTTTCTTAAGCAGAGGAAAAATTGATAAACCAGATGCTAAGATGTGTGTGTGTAGAAAATAACTTTTTTTGTAGGGGGTTGAGCATGGCTTCAGTCCAAAATGGCTTCTATCTTGGTCCACAGATGCAGATGAAAAAAAGACAATTTCATTCATTCATTTCATTTGTATGCCACCTTCTCTCAATTAAGATATCCAAGTTGGCTCACAAGTTGGGATGGGCCGATTTGTATTTTTTTTTCCATTGACCACATGATGCAAAAAGAAATGTGAATGATTCCAGAGTTTTTAACCCACAGTTTGTAGTTTCTGCATCTGCCACAGAGGCTCCTGCTTTTTTTTAAAAAATGGATCTGTTCACATAGTTTCAGGTGGTGTGATTGCTTGAACCAATGCAGAAAAGCCACAGCACCAGTACAGACTCATAGGAACAGCAAGCAAAGCCTCTCTCCATTAGTAAAAGTTTCCTTTTAAAGAAAAAGCTGAGGATAATGAGAGGAGGAACCTCTTGTTTACAAATTATTAGGTAATTCCCTTGTAACTGTGCCCCTA